TTTTATATGTAAGTAAATTACGAATATCATGTTGATGGTAAAACGCTAACCAAACTTTGTCTAGTCATCTCCACCAACAATGTGATGATGACACCTCAAAATTGTACATAGTAAATAGGTTTAAACTGTGTAAAATAATATAGTCCTACACGTATAGTTTATGAATCCGTGTTGAGTTTTTACCCGAAACGACCAGATTTTTGGAAGAAAAATCAAAATTATATAACAATTGTGTGTTGCATGTTAAAACTTACATTACAAAATATACAATTTTAATTTTTTTTTTCCAAAAATCTCGATGTCCAGTGTGAAAACGCAGTACGAATTCATACACCACAACTGCAGGAATATCGTATTTTATAAAATTACTATTGTAAATTTTGGATTGTCAGTCATCCCATTGGTGGGGGGATGATTAATCAACTTTTGGTCAGCGTTTTGCAATATACACGATATTCTTAACATAAGTATAAAATTTGATAACAATTGGTGCGGTAATTTCGAAGATTATCAGTCTAATAAAAAAAAACACAGACGTTGGAGAGTCAGGCGTCAGAGAGACGGAACCGGGAGACCAAATTTTTCGTACTCTAGACGTCATGAAACGTCAAGAAAACATGCAAGTAGCAAGTTGCTTGATAGACTCGATTACTATACTTGTGACTGTATTATAAGTGAAAGTAATTCGAAGTCCTGGAATTTAAGACTAGACTTTTCAAACTGTATGCTACTGTTGCTAAAAACTCACATTTCATCACTCGCAGGCTGTAAACCAACCTGAATTCTAATTCTAAGGCGATTTTGACATGTTTCGAACGCTATTACTGACAGAAACGTCTTATAATTTTTGTAATTGTAATTGTAATCGAGTCCGTCGACCGACTCTCTACTTTTACGTTTTTTCGAGCTTTCATGACCCCTACAGTAGGAAGAAATAGGTCTCCTGTTTCCGTGTGTCTGTCTGTCCGTTTGGCTGCCGTCCCAAATTTTTATTAGACAGATAATCTCCGAAAGTACTGGGACAATTGTTGTCAAATTTTGTATTTATATTAGGAACGTCATGTAGATGGTATAACGCTAACCGAAATTTGCCTAATCATCCTCACCAATAACGTGATGATATCATTTCACAATTGTACATAGTAAATGGGTTTTAAAATGTATAAAATAACATGTAGTTTATGAAGCCGTGTTGAGTTTTTATCGAAACGTCCAGATTTTTGGGAAAAGAATCAAAATTATAAAGCAACATTTTGCAATTTAATTTTGAATCTGCAGACCGGAATGCTTTGAAATCTTGCAGACGTTATAAAGTTATGATAATCATGATAAATTTTTAATCAAAATTATTTACTTATCCCCTCCAAAAGATTGATGACGTCAGCTCAAAATGTTGCCGAATAAATCCTTTCGGAAAAGTCCAAAATATGATGAGTCTATATTTGGGAACAACAGTTGCTCCAAAAACACGTAATATACCTGAATACATGTGATATTTATGTAAATTTCTGTGCAAATCCTGTCCTTCCTCTTATCCTATCTTTCGTCTACCTGCCCTATGGTCCAACTTTCTCTTTCAGTTTCTAGAATTTTCTAAACGCTTTCTTTAAGTTCTTCCACCTCTCCAAAACCGAACCTACGTGTCGACAATTTTTAAACACCATTCCTTTTTCTTCCTCGAGCTCTCAACCCGTAAGCATCTAATAAAAATCTGAAAACCGTGACCGTCGCTATTTCTTATTAAAATCCCCACCGATACCCACAATTCCATTCATATTTTTTGGACTTACTTATACAAGTGACTCAAAAAAATTATTGATTAAATCAAAAATTGCAAAACTCAATACTTTGAAATCTTGTAGACGTTTTGATGTTATGAAAGAATGGTAAATTATTTATCAAAATATATCTGTTCATCAACTCCAAAAAATTTATGACGTCATCTCAAAATTTTGCAGAATAAATCCTATCTAAAATGATCAATCTATAATTGTAATTTATCACTGCATTCATATTTTTTAGCTTTGCTTATAGAGGGTGACTCCAAAAAATTAATGAATCAGTCAATTTATTTTATTGAATAAATCAAGAATAGCAAAACTGAATATTTTGAAATCTTGCAGCCGTTTTCAAGTTATTGAAGCATGGTAAATTGTTGATCAAAATATATCTGTTTAGGTCCCCCAAAAAACTGATGACGACATCTCAAAATTTTGTAGAATAAATTCCACCCAAAATGTGCAAATGTGTTCTTATTTGTGGTCGATCATTGCACTCATATTTTTTAGATTTTCTAAAACAGGGGACTCAAAAAATTAATGAATGGGTCAAATTTATTTTATTGATTAAATCAGGAACGCCTCACTCCATTTTCCCAGAAAATTTTGGGAATAGAATACTGTTATTTTTAGTATTTTACACTGCATCAATCCAAGTTGATATACTTGTATTTGTAAAAATGACGTCATCACAAAACGTTGCTTTTAGCAACAATAGCAACTTAAATTCGAATTTGAAGACGATTTAAGCAACAATAGCGACTCGAATTCTAATTTCAAGACGATTTTGAGACGATTCAAACACCATTAGTGACAGAATGTTTAATGAAACACAGGTTCAACACATAGAACTTTTATAAACACCTATATGACGTAAGTGAAAGAATTCGAAGATGCTGAAATTTTAAATACAATAATCAGGGCTAATTGAGGAAATCGAGCTTGGAATGTCCTACATAAAAAAGAATAAGAAAAAAGAAGGGCTCGGACTGTGTCCAGAATGGAGGGCCATATCTCGAAAATCTTGTGTGGTTACTATAAACTGGCATCAAATCGGCTCTTTTCAGAACCAATAGTAATTTCGACAAATAAAGTAACAGTAAATTGGTACTAGTCAATATTTTGGAGAAGAATGTGCACTCTGCACTAATGTTGGTTAGTGGTTACACGAAAACCTAAATTCTGCGATCCCATATTACATACGACTGCAACAACTGTATAATCACAAATAAATTTTTCAATTTAAAGCTGGTTAGATGGTTGCTAATCTTATTATTACTGATACAATGCCTCAACAGAGTGAAAACTCCAATTACACTAGTTTACAAGGTTTTATATCCAAAGACAAAAATAGTTGAATCTGAAGGATTTGGGTTCAGGAAAATCAAATCTGAAAGCAGAGAAAATCCATCACGTCAGGTTTTTGAGATATTTATATAAACATATCCCGTATTTCTCTTCTTTTATACAACTCTTGTTATTTTTTTGTTTTTAAATATATATGAACATATAGTTCTTTTAGCAAATTTGTTTCATTTTACAAGATCATCTACGTCAATAAATAACATGAGTGTCAATTTTTCAAGCTACTAGATTGTCATCAATATTTTATTTAAAATTTTTCAAGTATTGATTTTAGAATAATTGGTTGCTTTTGATTTCTCTACGGGACGTGATAATAAAAATGTGAGCTTGGTCTCACAAAGATCTTTTAAAAGGATATAAATTTGCTCAAAGAAATACAGGTTTATCTTTAAAAATAAAGTAGTTACAGGGGTTGCATCAAATAAAAGCAACACCTAGTATATATTATAAACATTATGACTGAAAATTAAAAATGATTAACACTAGCGTTTCTTTTATTGACAGTACTGTCAGTTTTCCTTATAATAGACCAACAGTAACACATTTTCGTCCCAAAATCCTTGATACCTTCTTTTTAAGCATATTTGAACAGGTCTTCCCGCTTTAGGTACTATAATTTTACCACAAACGTAACAAAACTGATTTGTACTTACTTTGCACGATTTCGAAGACATGTTTTATGCCACAGTATTAACATGAATCAATTTAACCTAACGTGAAGGTAAAAACAAAGTTCATTATTTTGTATTAAAAGCTGACGTGATAAGGATTAGTATCCATTTTTGGATTTGTTATCAGTAAGTAATTTAGAAGTAAAAAATATTTTTTTTATTTTTGGATATGAAAAAAAGTTTAAATTTGTAAATTAATGTCATTCTTAGGCAAGGAGCATAAAGATTAACAAGAAAGAGTGGAGTGAAATTAGCAAGTTTAAAATCTTAAGCACATAAACGAAACACAATGAATGCTAGACAACTTGATGGAATGTGCTGTACTGATGAGATCAAACAAGATAGAAACTGCAGGCTACAGTTTTCCAACACGTTGTCTAGTCTCCGGGGTGATTGCAAATTAATGTATTTTAAATTTGGCCCTAATTTGATGCCTTTGGACGTAACCAGAGACTTTAAATACAGTATGTATTAAAGTCTCTGGACGTAACAGTCGATACCATGTTTCCTTCTACCATGCGTTGGACATATGTATGACGGCGACGTTGCCAAGTTTCAGAGGTCAGAACGTACAGTTTATATGCCGGAGGTAACAACATACTAGCAGTGTATAAAGGTAAGCGACGCCAGCGCCAACGGTCTACAGCTGAACTAAAATAAAAAGTTGCGACTATGGGATGCACGTTATGACCTCCAGACGAAAATTGAAAATCAAGCTCCTAGCGCCCCCTAGATGATTAAAAAATTATTTACAAGGCAAAACGTTTCTACCTCCGAAAACGGAGGTAGGAACGTTGTAGATGAGGTGACAACGTACTATACGTATATACTTCGGAGGTAACAACATACCGTGCATACATATATATATATATATATTTGTATCAAGTAGAGATCCGAATAAACTTTGGACAACCTGAGATCCACTATAATAAAAATACTTTTTAAAGTATATATTTTACAAAAAATGCCTCAATACCTTGTCTAACTCACACCCCCACAGAGGGGAAAACATTTTTAACATTTAATTTTCTTGACAAAATTTGTGCAAAACGAGATCATTTGTAAAAACACAACCAGTCGAGATCCAGAAATGTATACATTGATGTAAAACGCAAAACATGAGATCCGGTAACGTTGCCAGAGTTACGTTTGGCCCGTCTGCGCAAAGAGACCAGTTGCACGTGCATTTACGTAGTTTTTCAGAGTTTTGGTGTTTTGAGTGGATAGTCAGTGGTGATGTAAGCAAAATTTTTCGACATCATGATAAGTCGTGGAAAAAACTTAGTATATTTGGCCAGAAGTGGAAAATCTAATGTACCATTAAACGAAGGTAAAGTAAAATAAGAATGGTATTATTACATTGTTAATGTTAATCTCGTCGCATTTTAACAGTGAAACTAGATGAATCCGACGAACACTCGGACGAATATAATTATGATTATTTAGAAGACCAATATGCAGAAGACCCGTGGTCACATTTTAAAAAGTGGCAAGCAGCAAAGAAAATAAAAATACCATTGGCTCAAAGATTGAATAACTCATACTGTAATCAAAAGGTACGTATATTTGAATTATCGATTTAATACAATTAAGATGGATTTCACAATTTCAGTTAACTTTAATCATTCGTTAAAAACAATTGTTGGTATGGTTGTAACAAATATATCTAAGTAGTTAATCATCCGTTAAATTTAACTAACATTGGTGATACCGACCCTTATTGCATTTGTTTTATATCTTATATATAAAAAAATTATAAAGTCCACTGTTCGACGTAGATAAAAGTTAAAATTATTAGTATATTATTCGTCAAAAATCATACGAGTTAATTTAGAGTACCCACCTGTAAGTCAGATAAAATTATTTTTAAATAGACCGCTGTTCAGAAGGGAATTTTTTAGAAACTTTTCGGTTTTGGACACAAACAGCTTTAAATTTCATTAATTGTTTTTAATAAAAATTGTACTTTTTGAGAAAAGGACTTTCACTGCCGCAGATTTTTTTTTCTTATTTAAGATGTTATAAAGAAGATTGAATAGAAATATTGTACTTCATTTAAAACATGGCACCAAGGGCAGTCGTCTTTTGGTGTTTAAAAAACTAGTTACCATCAAAAAACGTTCATTAAATTTAAAATTATTGGGTTAGTTCATCCTAATCCGAAAATTGGACAGAACTCAATTATAAAATTTTAACGAATTTTTAGGACAACCATATGGAAAATGATAATCAAAATTTTGAAGAACGTGTGCTTGAAGAATTAAGACCACTTGAAACTAGCCCACAACTCTCAACGTTAGACCACAATCTTCAGGTATGTAGTAAAAAGTAATTTTCCTAATGCAGTTGTAAAATGTCAACATTATTGAAACTCGAGTCTGACTGAATACTTTCAGAGCGATTTTTTCGCTTTCTATCATCGACAGGCGTGCGTCCTATTTCATACAAATTTTTACAAGAACTATTTGTCTTTAGCGAAAATGTACAAATATAAGTGTTGGATAAATACATATTCCCCTTAACGGTTCTATAAGTTGTGCAGCTAAAAAAAATATGCCTGATATTTTAACAGTACCTAAATTAATTTCCATGAATCTTTAGAACTCTGTACATAGATTTGACGTATTTTTAGGGAAATGTTCAAACCGGATCTGAGAATAGTGTTAATAGCGTTTTAAATGATATTCAAAATCATGAAGACCCTGTTAACCAATTAACGCCTCTAACTACTACAGAAGCGGTGCATACATGTAACGATCAACTTCTGGTATGTATGTTGTTCTAACAGTCATGTATGTAAAATATTGTAAATCAGAGTAAGTTTTATAGTGAAAATTATCATTTTATTTCAAAAATAGCCAACTGGTGCATAAAAAAATGTAGAAAAATGGGCAATTTCACTGCTAATTCCTGCATTTTTAGTGCCCATTTTTCACTCAAGACCTACACAGTACTTAACGAAAACAAATACAAAATAATGTGTTTTAGAATTCCGCCGAAAAGGAAGATCATAATAGTGATGACGAAAATTCGCATTTGTCGGAGAGTTCCCTATTTGCAGATTCATCAGTAAGCGAAGTAGTTAAATATCGAATATCAGATTTGTTGTTTAAGTAGGTACGTACCATCAGTGGACAAAGAAAATTGGAAATTGGAAATTTTACAATTGTCAATTGTGTCACGAAACGACAATCATAATTACATTTTAAAAATGAAATTCAGATATACAGGGTGATTTTGAAATACGTTCGGAAAATTAAAGCACAACATCTCTGAAATAAGTTGAGGGCATTTCCAGTAATTTTTATTCATTCTAATACAAGGATAAAAATCCCAAAATCCAGACCTAATTCGGCGTCACTGATATGCACATAATGAGACGTATGTTGGCGTTGTATGTTGAATCGGACAATTAATTTTTTACGTCATATTTGTCAAACTTATAACAATAATAAACACGTTTTTCAATAAAGGGTACACGTCTGCATAATAGACAAGGCATAATAGACACATTTTGGACACGCCAAATATTGAAAAACGTTTTTATTTCGATTTTTTTTATTGTTACAAGTTTGACAGATGTGACGTAAAAAATAATTATTAACGCATTAAGCGAAGATATACGCCTCAAATTTTTGTAGTTAAAAAAGCTAACAACACAAAGAACACAATCGGTATTTAACTATGGATGATGCAAATAGATTATAATCAGTGCCGCATCATCAAAATTGAACAAGATTTCTATCAAAATTTTCTTGAAACTGGGGCAGCAATTTAAAAAACGAAACCTGCGAAATTCTTTGATTGCTAGTAAATATTAATCGATGTGTTTTCCGAACCCATTTCAGAATCATTTTTTTCGTAATGTCATCCGGTGTCAACCATATCTCATAAAATGATGGGAATACTTTTTAACAAAAACCCAACTTATGTGTTTAAAGTAGATGGATGGATAAATTATTCAGTTTATATGTTTAAAATTCTGTAATTTTGAAAATGATCTAGTTATCAACTGTGCTCTAGTTTTTTTGTTCAGTGATGGTAACTATTTATATTGGAAATTCAAAATTTTCTCATCCTTGCTGAAAAATGATAACGCTACTGTATAAAAAACTTCTAGAAATTTCAATTGATTACATTTAAAATAAAATATTGCCAATGATAATATCATTACTTTTAGGTTTCTTGGAAGCCCAATCAAGAGAATGATGTCACTTCAGAAGATAATTATTCCGAGATAAGCGAGTCTATCCCCCGAAAATCACCTATATATTTTCATGCCGCTTCTAAGGAACGTCAGTCATCAAATCCTGTCAAGTGTATTGAAAGTTCTCTTGACGCGAAAAATCCACTCCCAACGAGTCCAAAACCATTACCTACATCAGACTGTGATTTATCGGTATGCGTATTTTTATTGAATACATTCATATAAGTACGTAGCCTATGTATCAGAAATACGAGGTTTTTACATTATAGCGCGTATCACTTTAGCCTGAGAATATAGTATATTTATTATTAGCCAAGGTTGCAACGCCAAGCATTCTAGACCGAGCGCAAATTAGAACCCGAGACGCGCAGCGTCGAGGGCTCTGAAGCGCGAGGTCTAGAAGTGGCTTTGCAACCGTGGTTAATAACAAATATACTATTTTTTTCACTAGTAGAAACCATAAGACAATAAACTGAAAAAATAAACGTTTAATTTTTTGACGCAACATGATTTTGTTTTGATTTCTAATCAAACTTAATCTAAATCGTCAACACAAAGAAAACCGTTTATACTTGTCGCTGAGTTAATCATTTTATCTTCTACCGTCTACCAACTACCATGCGTATACTCAAGTAATGTTTGTAGCACACATTTGTTCATTTTTTAAGAAATAATCACATCAAACATTGCGTACATAACCTCAATTTTTCTTTTTGAATCGGTGGTCGCAAAAGTTGAATTTGCTACCTCTAAATGAGTCGACATTTGCATGGATCATGGCTGCTAGTGAAAAAAATAGTATATTATTAGCCAAGGTTGCAGAGCCAAGCATTCTAGACCGAGCGCAAATTAGAACCCAAGACGCGCAGCGTCGAGGGCTCTAAGTGCGAGGTCTAGAAGTGGCTTTGCAACCGTGGTTAATATACTATTTTTTTCACTAGTAGAAAACATAAGACAATAAACTGAAAAATAAACGTTCAATTTTTTGACGCAACATGATTTTGTTTTGATTTCTAATCAAACTTGATCTAAATCTTCAACACAAAGAAAACCGTTTATACTTGTCGCTGAGTTAATCATTTTATCTTCTACCGTCTACCAACTACCATGCGTATACTCAAGTAATGTTTGTACCACACATTTGTTCATTTTTTAAGAAATAATCACATCAAACATTGCGTACATAACCTCAATTTTTCTTTTTGAACCCGTGGTAGCAAAAGTTGAATTTGCTACCACTAAATGAGTCGACATTTGCATGCGTCCAGGCTGCTAGTGAAAAAAATTGTTTTCACTAGCAGCTATGAAGCATGTCCACTCATTTAGAGGTAGCAATTTCAACTTTTGCGACCACGGGTTCAAAAAGAAGATTGAGGTTATGTACGCAATACTTGATGTGATTATTTCTTAAAAAATGAATAAATGTGTGATACTAACATTACTTGAGTATACGCATGGTAGTTGGTAGACGGTGGAAGATAAAATGATTAATTCAGCGACAAGTGTAAACGGTTTTCTTTGTGCTGAAGATTTAGATCAAGTTTGATTAGAAATCAAAATAAAATCATGTTGCGTCAAAAAATTGAACGTTTATTTTTTCAATTTATTGTCTTATGGTTTCTACTAGTGAAAAAAATAATATATTAACCACGGTTGCAAAGCCACTTCTAGACCTCGCCCTTCAGAGCCCTCGACACTGCGAGTCTCGGCTTCTAATTTGCGCTCGGTCTAGAATGCTTGGCTTTGCAACCTTGGCTAATAATATACTATTTTCCTACTCGTTGCTATGGACGACGTCTAGCAATAGTTATTTGTGACACAAGACCAGAAAATGCATGTTTGCGAATGCGAGTGATAATGTGGAGCCGAGAGACGCTAGCCCAGGCGGAACAACACAAGCACTCGCAAAACATTTTGTGGCCGTGTGTCTCACATAATTTTTTCTACTCGTTATCCCTAATATCTGAAGAAAAAATGCAAACAAGTTTCCACAACAAAAGTCAAATTAATGACATTTCTCCAATCTGTCTTTCTTTCCGTACGTTGGTATTGACGACGTTGTGAAATAGCTTTTGCCAGACGTCGTCCATAGCAACGAGTAGGAAAAAGTTCTTGCAACTTACTCTATGATGTTAAAATACCATTCTTTCAGGGTTCCACTCGAAGACCAATTCATAAAAATCCTGTGGAACACAGTCTACGTAAGGGAAGAGTATGGGACAAAAAGGATCGCTGCTCTTACTGTGATAAAGACGTCACTAATTTTTCAAGACATCTTTTTAGAAAACATGCAGAAGAAGAAAGTGTACGAAAAATCCTTGAACAGCCAAAAGGTGAACGCAAAAGAAAAATTATGATTGATCTCATAAGAAAGCAAGGGAATTTTACAGTACTAGGAGAGAATATAACGAGGCCGGTTCAAAGACCGTCTGCAATACAAAGTAAAAATGATGAAATTCTCCCAACAGATTACCTTCCATGCATTTATTGTAAAGGATTATACAAAAAAAAATCTCTACGGAGGCACGCCCTTACTTGCTGTTACAATAAAGAGATTAATCAAAAACACAATTTTGCAAGCGAGGGTCAGACAATGATTGCTTTTACTGAATCTCGTCAAGAATTTCTAAAAAAATCAAGATTGAAATGCGAAGTGTTTAGCAAAATGCGTGCTGACAGAATATCTTTAAACGGAAAAAGTGACCCAATAATCTGTCAATATGCAGAAGACTACCTGCGCAAACATAAAAGACCACATATCAAAAATGCGGTATCAAACAAAGTGAGGGAATTGGGAAGACTTCTCATTCCACTTCAAGATATTTATAAAATTAATTCCATGCTAGAAGTGTTAAAACCTGAACACTTTGATAAAGTAGTTTCCGCCAGCCGCATAATTTCGGGTTACAATGAAGCAAAGCGATCCTTTAAAGCGCCTTCTCTTGCTCTTCATATGAAAACAATATTATTAGCTGTATGCTCTTCAGCTAAAACTCTTATGTTAAAAAAACATCCTATTTTGGGGATTACCGATTATGACATAGCACTCAAAAATGTTAAGGGATTTCGGGAGTTGGTCGATGCTAACTGGAAATTTGAAATGAGCAGTCTGGCACTAAAGGACCTTAATGAAAAGCAATCAATAAATCCGCAGAAATTACCAGTAACCCAGGATATTATTTTATTCAGAAATTATACGCAAGAAATTGCGGAAACATGTGTGAAAGAACTAGAAACGAATTCAGAAAACTTGACGTCATTCAAAAAACTTACGGAAGCGGCTTTGGCTCTGACAATAATTTTAAATAGGAAGAGAATCGGAGATGTACAATATACACAATTAGAATCTTATAATCGAATATCAACAAGTACCAACCAAGAGGAGTGCCTTAGTTCCCTAAATGAATGTGAAAGAGAATTATCGAAGCATTTTAAACGCATTACCACAGTGGGAAAAGGAAGTCGGTCAGTTCCGATACTTTTTTCAAAAAATGTACAAAAATACATAGAAACACTTCTATCAGTCAGAAGAAAAACTACGTTCGTACCGCATGAGAATCCATTTTTATTCGCGTTAACAGGAAGCTCAACTAAATGGGTGGATGGATCAGCCGTATTAAGAAGATATGCAGTCAAATGTGGGGCCAAAAATCCTGGTACTCTAACCTCTTCTCGCCTTAGAAAACAAATTGCAACTGTCCTACAGATTTTAAACCTTAATGACACTGAAATGGAGCAAGTGGCCACCTTTATGGGCCATACCAAAAAAACCCACGAACAATTTTATAGGTAGGATATTTAGTATATAGCTTGTGGATATGTAAAAATAACAATATTTCGAGAACCTATATATCTTTCTTTTTTTAAGGATGCCGCAGGACGTTTTTCAAACTGCAAAAATAGCCAAGTTACTTCTAATGATGGAAAGGGGAGTCGGCAGCCAGAATCAGGGTAAAACTCTTGATGAAATCAACGTCGAATTGGAATCGTGGAATGGAAAATCTCTTGAAGACCCTGGAAGTGGTAACTTCCCGCTATTATTTTAATTTTTTTTAAGTTTAAAACATACAAATAATAACATAAACAAAATAACAAATAATAACCAGTTTTTTGACTTGTTTATTTTTTTAGAATCAGAGGACCATGATTTGGAGGAAAAAAGCGCACATGATGAACCAAAGGAAGAAGATGAAAGAATTAGACTAGACATGCCAACTATGTCTGTGACTAGTGTTAACGTTACGCAAACCAACAAGCACAAAGCTCAAACTATGTCTGATGATTCTCCACTCAAAAAGAAAAAGATATCTAAAGAAAAACCCAAAAAAGAGAAATGTCGTGGAACATGGAACGACAAGCAAAAGTCCATAATGTTAAATTATTTTAAGAATCATATTAAAAACAAAATTTCGCCGAAAAAAGCGGAATGCTTAAAATTACAACAGGAAAATTTTGATTTGTTTATGAACAAGACTTGGGTACAAATTAAAGTATATATTTATAATACTTATAAAAATAAATAAAATTGTAATATTCCTATTTTTTGTCATTTTACTATTTTAATTCTGTTGTAATTCAATAATCGCCGTCGTTTTGTTAAAACTTATAATAAAAACTGTTGCGATGTTGCAAGATCTGTTGGATCTCGACTTATTGATAGAATGTTATATACAGCCTGAGCATTGCAGCGCCCTCGTTGGTGTGCCCACCTGAACTACTCTCGTATAAAAATTGATAAAAATGTGAAATCCGAGATCCGACAAATAATGCAGTGACGTCCTTCCCCCACCTATAAAAATTGTTTGGTGAAGATATACACATGAAACAAGTCGAGATCCAAATTGGATCTCGTCTTGCCAGAATGGATCTCTACTTGTACAAAAAATATCACTAAATGATCTCGACTTGTACAGTAAATATATCTATATATATATATATAAAAAAAAATTGTCTTCGAAACTTGTAAGAAAATTCTGCATTAAATAAAATTATTTTTAAGGGAGGATATATGTATTTCCTAAAAATATTTGTATCTAACCAAAATAACCAAATAGACACATAATTAGCCCCGCCCACCCACCCTGTCTCCTTTTCAGTGATTGATTTTATCCGATCTGAACGAAATGAATGATTTTATATTGAACATAAATTAAATTAGTCGTTAGAATGAGAAGAGGGGGATGGGTGGGGAGTGTACTTGCTAAGATACGAATGATTTTGGGAAATGACATACCTTCAAAGAAAATAGATGGTGGGTGGGCGTAGCTAGTATTTGACAAGATAAGTCTGATTTTGGCACTTTTGACATTTTCGACCATTTTTCAAGTTGACCCGAAAATTATTTGAAGAGATTTTCTTGTAGATTTCGATATCCAGAAGTCATTTCTGGCTTCCTTTCTTCGGAAATTTCTACAGTTTTTCTAAAATCGATAACTGAAATACAGCAGTTTTTTACAGTTTTGTCAAAATAGTTCGCTGCAAAAATTTTGTAGATAAAAAGGAAATTATTATTAATTTTTTGTTTCACAAAATACAATTGTTTCAAGAATGTACTTTCTTCACATCCTAAATTCTATTATTATTTTCCACTCCCACGCGACAGAAAAATATAATTAGCCCCGTCCACCAACCCTGTCTCCTTTACAGTGATTGATTTTATCCGATCTGAATGAAGTGAATGATCTTATACTGAATATAAATAAAATTAGTCGTTAGAATGAGAAGAGGGGGGGGTGAGTGGGCGGGACTAGTATTTGCTAAGACAAGACTGATTTTGGCAAATGACATACCTTCCAAGAAAACAGAGGGTGGGTGGGCGGGGCTAGTACTTGTCAAGATACGAATGATTTTGGTAAATGACATAAATTCCAAGAAAACTAGACATTTTCTTGTAGATTTCGATATTCAGGTATTTTATGCTGTTTTTCTAAAATCGCTAATTGAAATACAGCAACTTTTAGAGTTTGGTCAAAGTAGCTATCTATAAAAATTTTGAAGATAAAAAGGGAAATTATTTTTAATTTTTGTTCCACTCCCACAGTTAAATAAACTCCTTTTGGTTCGAGTTTAAATTTTTTCACACGAGTGTCTTTTTCTCTGCTAGTCGAAGATCTATGACAAAAATTGGCACAAATTCACTTTCCTGAGAAAACGTGAGTTAAAAATGTCCGATTTCCGAATGATTTGAACAACTTGAAATTTTTACTCCAAAAATGGTGGAGGCGCCGGAAAAATATATAATTAAAATATTCGATCTTCCAAAGTTTTAAGAAAATTCTATTCTGGACAATATATTTAAGAAGATTATATTTCCTTAAAAACCTTTGTATCTCCGTAAAATAAATAAACAGACACGAATTGTGGAGTTATTCGAGGTCAGCTCTGACAACTTTCATTATTTTTTTTATTTATTTGGGTATCTGTGATGAAATTAGGCACAAATTCGTGTTCCTGAAGAAATTTGAGCCTAGGTTAACCGATTTTCGAAAGATTTTAACAACTTGATTATTTGCTCTAAAAATGGTGGAGGCGCCGGGAAAACAATTAATTAATTAAAAAAATTGTATCTTCGAAATTTTTAAGAAAATTCTAAACTGAAGGATACATTTAAGAAAGAAGTTTATATTTTCTAAAAATATTTGTATCAAAGCACATTAATAAAATAAACAGAGATTATAATCAGATTAAATAAACTGCTTTAGGAAGAATTTAAGAAAGGGGGTTCTTGGTGTATCGTTTCTTGAAAAATTTGACAACAATTTGCGACTTTGAAGGGATTTAAAAGCATCTTGGGGGTGCCTGAAAAAAATCTTAACAGACTCTAGTATTTGTTTTAAGAAAATTTGGAAATCTCTTGTTGGTTCCTGATGTTTTATCTTATTTTTTTGATTTTTAATGATTTGTGGGGAGCGGTCTTATTTTTTTTCTGGAAATGTTTCTAAATAATCTTGATGAAGGTCTTGTGTCTTTTTGGGAAAATTTGAAAAATGGTCCCTAGTGGTTTTTAGAAAAAAAATCTTTGATCGCTTGAATGTGTCGTTTCTGGAAGGTTTCGAAAAAATAATTTAAAGATGTTTTATCTTCAAAAAATTCTAAATAATCTTCGGTCTTGGTGTTTTGTTTCTGAAAGAATTTGAAAATAATGTTAAAGCCCTCTGATTTTTGTCTTTAAAAGAATTTAATTGCATCTTGGGAAAAAAGAATCGTGCTCGTGTTTTATTTCTAAGAGAATTTCAAAGAACCTTGATCGGCTCTTGTGTTTTGTTACTGAAAAATGAAAGTCAAATAAAGTACGAAGGAAGTAAATTGGTTTCGTCTAACTTGAACATGTTCTCAATTCAACAAAACCTAATTTCAGTTTGGAAAATCCATTTTCAAGCTTTGATTGCATTAACACCGAAACGTGACCCACTTTCAAGCGAAAATTTAGAAAATAAAATAATATAACAGACACTGCGTAAATACCAACAGGAAATATAAGTGCACCACCGATCGATGTGTTGCCGCTGTGCCCGAAGGCTAACCGACTCAATCGTTGTTCCGCTCTAGTGGTCCATTGACCGACGAACTAATAGTACGTTCGAGCTTTGCTATTGACATACACTACGGATTTAAAACGTTACAAATATCTATTTCACATATATTATTGATTGGCACATACATTACTAAATTCAATCTGTCAACAATCTGCTTACCTCTGTATTGAACTGTAAATGTTCGGACCCAACATACATTGACGATAAATACACATATAATTAGTGGTGTGGTCGATCAATTTTAAACTAGAAAATTAACCGAATTTTAAAAGCAGAACAATGTAGAACAACGAGATTGGTCGTTTTACAAAGAACTTACATCCACTCCGTCGCTAGTTCAAAGATAATAATTTATTACTAAACTCGAATAAACGTAAAGTTGTGTCGTTTGTCAGAAGTCACCGTGCTATTATCATCTCATACAAAATTAATAATGTCGAACTGTCAAGAATGGACGAGATTAAGTATTTAAGGACTTAAGCGTGACTTTCAATTTTCAGTCGCTTCGTTACGTTGCGTCTATTGCGTGCTCCGCGTTGGCGTGCTTTTGTCCGAATTTTGAATCGAAAAACGCGTTTCCCAACATTAATTACACAATAAAACCATTAAGCAACCCGATTTTCAACAAAGTCACAAAAAACCCATTCAAAACCTCCCTAACCACTCCGATAAATAAACACATAATTTTCTTTGCCCACTGTTTACTCACCGTTATTTCACTGTTTACATTTACGTAAATGGAAACAATTTACATTTCGAAGAACATCGGCCCCGAAGCCCACATTAACCCATATTTTTGTATCCGCACTAAAAACATTCTTCTCTCCAGCGCCCATTGTCACCGCCTCGTTCTCCCCCATCCGACTTTCTTGCTTCGTTAAAATCCTTTTTATTTGTACATCCGGTTCAGAAACACATTTACAATCCCACGATAAGCAACCTGTCGTAACAAGAAAAAGCGAATTACCGAAGAACGAGCTTAATGGAAGCTTTGAAAAGCAATTATACACAAAGCACCACATAAATTTCTCCTTCGAAAGCAACATTTAACAGCTCATAGCAAAGCTGTAAAAGCGACATAAAAACGAAGACACTGCGTTTTTCGAAATTATCGAACCGGATTTTTTCCTGCTCGGACGATCGTTAATTACAGGAATCGCCGTGTTTAAGGATAATGGGATTATCTCGAAAAGCGAGCAATTAATTTCGAAACAATAAATACGGGATAAATCTCATGTTCATTTCGAACGGGATCACATCCTGTAAATAAGCTTATATTAATATGATTTTGATTCACACGTGCTCGCTCGCAGGAACGTAATAGATTGCAGGAATTGCATTCGGAGGCGGACGGCGGCGGTTCGGCTTTGCCAAATCCTGTTAGAGGATGCCAAATATTGTGTTTCTTTCGGTATCCGATTTATTTATTAAGCCCCAAAGATTTTTAAATTTTGTGTAAAAATGGTGGAGGCGCCGGGATAGTAAAAATTCCGTAAATTGTTGATGCTCGAATTGTTTATGTAAAAACTTAATTTCGGTGGAGATTATATCGACCTGAAAAACTTGCTCGGTTCGACGTGTCAGTGTTAAAAACCGGCGCTTAATTAATTCAAGTAATGAGTAAATAAAATCGCATTTATTCTAACGACTCCGTTAATTAATGATCTACATGAGCGTAAAGTGTAAACTCGGCTTTTGTTTCTGCTAGAATGTTTACGACTGGCTGGGGAAAAAAACAAACAAAGGGCGCAAAAAATATCATTGTTTGTTGTTCGACAAAAACACGGCATTATTACTAAATTTAGCCCCCAACATTCATTACTGTAAGTAAGTAAACGAATTTCTCGACCGACGAAATGAAAATGCTTTACGACGAAGCAAATCCGCGACTCTCGGAAAATATTTCGACTACCGAGTATGATTGTTTTTTCGTTTTTCTTTGTGACAGTTTAGATAGAAAGAATCGCCTCATTAAATATGGAGGAGCATTTTCAGCAG